CAAGTGATATTCATTCGTTCAATTAGCATTATTCATTCATAATTGTCTGTCAATTCATAAATTTCTGAAAATCTTTCATTTCAAAAAGTCCAAAAGCAAACCATTCAAGCAGATATCACACAACTGTGATACCAGTCATCACCGTCATTCAACTGAACCGCACCATTGAAATTCGTTTCATATCGTTTCCAAGGCAGTATTGTCGAACTATGCGGAACAGTTGCTGATTCGAAGAGAAAAAATTTATATACTAGGCAGAATTTCACCTGAAGGTGATTCGATAATCTCGACAGAATAATCCATTCATATAAGTGACTGCAAAAACGAGGACTGCAAAAACAGCCGTCACCGTAAGTGCACTCGGATTGGATCAAACACGAAATATGTCTGAAGATGTTGATACGCACATCACTGATAAATATGAACTGCATAAACGACTCGGTAAAGGTGCTTACGGTATCGTTTGGAAAGCGATCGATAGGTTAGAAGTTTTCTTATTACTCAGAATTGACATTACTAAACGAATTTAGCACATTTTTTATTGTTATGATTGGTGCTGTTTTTACGAATATTCATTATTGCATTCAATATTGAGAACAGCCATACATGTTCGGCGATAATTCAGTGCACTTTTGCTTTGATGGAATCGAAAAAAAACTTTTTGCCCCATTCGCTAATGAGTAATATCATGTTCGCCATATGCATATGAGGATGGATCACTTATTGAGAGATGGTAATTTTTGATTTTAATCTTTTTGATCTGCGATTTTGATTTTACAACTGCGTTGACTGGATTTTTCGAGATTTTTTTGTGCAATTTTCAGCAAAATTTGCAACTGAACAGCAGGGACAGTACTAACGATTTTAATAACGGTAAAAAATAATGATGATAATAGTAATTCATACAAAAGTTTAACTGGTATTTGATAACTGAAGATGTGATTGATATCTTTTAGGAGATCGAAAGACACTGTTGCATTGAAGAAGATTTTTGACGCATTCCGCAATCAGACAGATGCGCAACGAACGTTCCGCGAGATTATGTTCTTGCAAGAGTTCGGTCGGCATCCGAATATCATCAAGTTGTACAATATTATTAAAGCTGACAACGACAGGTATCGCTACCTTCATCCATCGCCTTTTCCTATCTCACTCGGATGTTCCTCTGAAGAAGTGAGAGTAGAGAAACCGTATCGTTTTTATTCGAATTTGGTGTATTTTCACGAATAATATTCGGAGATTGACTTTTTTTAAATGGTACTCTCAAAATTCGTATTCGTCATATTTGTTGAATCCATTCAAAGAGCTGAAACGTTCACCAAAGCTCAATAAGCACACATTACCAAAGTGTCTATCTCATAAATCGCCCATCAAGCCATTTACACCCTTTTCAATGCATCCCATTCCAATGACACCCCCGCAATCCTATGTGACCATTCCGACCAGGTATGGTCGTGAACGTAAGCCTTCATTTGAACAATGAAAAAGCCTAATTGTCAGATTACGGCTCAAAAATTTGATATATATTTGATTGATGTGCATTTGAGCATTGCAACTAGCATATAACGATTTAATTTTTCATCAAAACAAACATTAGATCAACGTTTGAAATTAGAATTCGAGGTGTACTGCAATTAGGCATTTTCAATGGGTCTTCGAATTGCAGAGATATATATTTGGTGTTTGAATTCATGGAAGCTGATCTGCATAATGTCATAAAGAAGATGACAATATTGAAGGATATTCACAAGCAGTACATCATGTGCCAGTTATTTCGTGCTGTTCGATTTTTGCACAGTGGTAATGTTTTACACAGGTGAATGAATATAATTTACGTTTCATTTGGATACTGCATACACTGGCTGAACGGAAATCCTATGGATGCAGTGTTGCAAGCTCCACTTGCAATATGCTCGACTTCTTCTTGAATTTTAATTTGCAACGATTACTTTTTCATGATAAATTTGAATCATTTTTGCTTTACACATCAAAAATCGACGAGAAAAATCTAAATTAAAAGCAAGCAAAAAACAAGGAAAAATGCTCGATGGCGGTAGGCGTTCGTTGCCATACGAAAGATTTCGAGCAGTTCGTACAGCTCTGAATGTGTTTCGGTTGCTGCGTAATTTTGCAAGGATTTTTCTCGTGGTAGAATGAATCGTTTTTGATCGTCGCTTTAAAAGAGGGAGAGAAAAAAATTGAAAAATCGAGCAAAAGCGACGGATAGTCAATTAGTGAATGCGCTGAAAAATTCGAACGATTTGTATTAGATGCCAAATTTTTGATTGAAATTTTGTATGGAGCGGTTTTCAATCGACGCGTACCAAAATCGTTTGCTATTTGAGAAATTGGAGAATAAAATTCTTTTGGATCACTTTTGCATCACCTTAATGTTGCATCATCCATTAACATGCTGAAGCATAATTGTTTGCAATATCAAAATTCTAATTCGAAACAAATTCGATTCATTTTCAATTCAGTCTAACAGCGTTGTCGCTTATTTAGTTATTTCATCGCTATGATAATATAGTAATGTTGCATCGAAGCTTTTCAATTGGTACAAGAGGAGATAATGAATGTTTTATTAATCAGGGATTTGAAACCATCGAACGTATTATTAGATGCGGATTGTCGTGTCAAATTAGCGGATTTTGGATTAGCAAGATCGTTATCGCAACTCGAGGATTATCCAGAAGGGACGAATATGCCCGAATTAACGGTTGCCAACTCAACGCTTTTTTTAAAAAATGTTCTCTATCACTGAAACACCAAAAAAAAAATTTAGAAATTGACCGCACATCTGCGTACGGCAAAGCCTTTTTCATCTCAGTCAGTTCATTGTGCATCCAGTTTTATCGCGATTGGAATATACGGAATAAATATTGAAAATTCTCATTAATCTTATGTTGTTCTTGGAAGCACAATGCAGAAAATGATAGCTTATTGAAATGTTTGCGTGTGGAAATGATACGAAATGAATGCATACCACAAAGTCATGCAGCTGTCAATCATTCAATGTATTGTTTTGAATGAGCATCATTATTAGGCGTTTGAGTGATTCTATTGAACGTATTCGGTTGTAATTATAACTAACTACATGCCCTGATATCGATTCATGTCCAATTCGGGACACGATTGAATCCTTCGGCACAAATTTACTTCGTTTTACGGACGATTCAGGCTACACCCAAATTATTGGAAAGAATTGTGGTCCTAAATCGACGTTCCACTGTCTCGGCGGTTATAAGTGTCTCAGTTTACTTTTAATGCATTTCATAGATGCATCGCACGTACAACTGCTATACTAGCGACCAGAAACGACAGATTTTCTGTTGAAATCAATAAGCACTTACGTAGTGTGTGAATTTATTCGTGGCAAATTCAATTCAATTCAGTTGTTACATCAATGTTTCCGTCGCATTCATTCCACTCATACGTCATATTTAATGTTACTATTCATCATAAAAGTACTGAAACCATCAACACTTCACTGATTCACATACTCTGTCGTACAAATGTACTATTCTCGCCAGAAATGCGAACATTTAGTAACAGTTTTCATTTGAAATATTGTGATGGGAATAAATGTGAAATTGAATATGAACTGCAGGAATACGTTGCAACAAGATGGTATCGCTCACCGGAAATACTTCTGGCAGCGAAGAGATACACGAAGGGTGTGGATATGTGGAGTTTGGGCTGTATTTTGGGTGAGATGTTGATTGGCCGAGCGTTATTCCCGGGAACATCGACCATCAATCAAATCGAACGAATCATGAACACTATCGCGAGACCGTCGAAGGTTCATTCTTCCTCTATATTGCACATATTCAATCCACTTAAGACATTCTTTAGCCAGTTGGCAAATATGAGCTGCTACTGTCAAGAACTGGAAATGATGGTTAGCAGCAGGTTTTTCGAATTTGCTGAACTGAATTTTAGACAGAGTAATGTGCTCCTATTGTGATGATCTAATTACTACTTGCACATCAAAAATTAGTTTTTCTTCTGAAGCATTATCGTTTTATTCATGCTAATGATAACAAAATAATGTGTGTGAATACTTAGTGTGATATTGAAAGCATTGGTTCACTGTATGCCGCATCAGTGCTTGAAAAGATGCCTCAAAGGCCACATAAACCACTGGAGACATTCATCGTGAACCCGAATCCGTACGCTCTTGATTTGGTCAACAGGTTGCTTGCATATTTCATTCATAACGTCTTCATTCTTTCGCTTACAACTTTGTAATATTTTGATTACTATTATCAATATGAATAGTTTTTAATTGATTTATTGCAACGATAATCGACACTTTAGTAATTCCATTAGCAATACTCATAACAATGACAACAAACAATTGAACAAACTAACAATAATGATAGTAATAACTGAGATTAAGCAATTTAGATTGTTAATATTCGCACCGCACAAAAGGCTGAACGTGGATCAGTGTCTGGTTCATCCATACGTTTATCAGTTTCATTCGCCTGCAGACGAGCCATCGTTGAACTACGACGTAACACTGCCACTACCAGATCATATACAGTTGTCGATTGATGATTATCGCAATAAATTATATGATATGATCAGTACGAAGAAAACACACATCAGACGTATTCAACACGACAGAGTACCGATTGCACGGTAATTTTGAGTTTGTTGATGGTGTTTGATGTAAATGAGCTGTTTTGGGAACGTTTATGACTGAATTCAGAGTTGGTCCAATTAAATCTTCGAAATGATTCATATCGTATTTATGGATTCTGAAGAGGAAAAGAAATAAGTCAACTCATGACGCATCGCTGATATATCTGATATATAATTGATTTATTGATCAAAATATCTGATATGATCAAAATAGGATCGTACGAGCAGTGGAATACTCAGGATAACATCAATGAGAAATATTTCCAACAAATAGATGATAAATTTCTAGGAATACGACGAAACATTATGCATCAACAGTGAATCGTTCGAATGGTAATGCGAGCACAGTAGCGACGGTGAACGGTCGTATTGCAACATCATCATCCAGTGCATCCATAGAACAGAATAGCAATATGAATAGTAACACTACCACTAATAATAGAAATCCTCCGACTGAACCACGTAAAGCTCCAATTGCACAAGCTGAATGCAGTGATACGGATTTTGATACGGCTCGTTCGATATGTCGTGCGATTTCGGTTGAAAAGAATAAATCGAATAATGCAAGTGACGGTCATAGCTTTTATAGAGGTACATCCTTTATGTTTTGCTCTTTTGCAAAATTATATTCTGGAATCAGATTTTCGAATTACATTGGGAGAAACGGGTAGATTGATACAAAGTGGCAATTGATGTGGGAGGGAAAGGGGCGTGCAGGGGAAAGGAATTTTTAGGGTAGCTTGGAAATGGAATGCATATTCGAGATTATCCCAACCATATTTACCGCAATGCTAGCGATTCCACAATCACTACTGGATAATAGATATCGGTGATTAGCGCAAGATAATAACCGCGAAAGAAATCTATATCAATTTTTAAAACTTTCGAAAGCATCCAAGATAGTAATAGTTAATAATAAATAATGTTATACAATACCAATAATAATAATAATAATAATAATAATAAAACCATCAGAACGTGCTCAAAGTGTTGATTATCGAGCGAATGCAGCTGCAATAACGAAAAATAACGACATCCGTAATAACATCTCAAGAAATCGAACGCGTCAACGCTCAAAAGACCGCACTGGATTATTTGCAACACTACGCAAGGCCTCTTCCACCCAACGACGTCTTACTACTGTACCTACAATCAATTAATGTGCATATTTAACATGTCATTACTAATACTGTCAGCATTACTCGTTACTAGCATGCTAGAATATTATTGATATTAGTCTACATTAATATTATATGCATAGTATGTAATGTTGATTGGCCCATTAAAATTCTATTGCACGTGATGATGCATTAGAAATGTGGCTTTCAGACGACAAGCTCTGAATAATTGCCTTTGAAACATTTCACTATATTCGAACGAAGGAAAAAATGTCAAGAATGTGATGTTTTTTTTTGAGCTATTTCATTCGCATTTGCAATGTGCACGTTGATGTTATGGTTGAAATTAGAGTTGGCTTCTCGAATTCAGTTGTCAACGATGAAACCGATCGATGCACAAAATTTGCCTTGTCTGCAGCCGCTGGGATAGTGTTTGGTTGGTGACGGTCAAGAAGAAATCTCTAGGTTCTCAGCTCTAGTTGAAAAAATAAGTTTTCATTGGATTTAGAATCTTTAAAATTAAACAATTCATTGGAAATGTTGATTGCTTGATCGGCGTTGAATGGTTAATAGTACTTTTCGACGAGTAAGCAGGCCTCTTGAAACGTAATCAATTGTTTCTGCGTTTCGTTTTCTAAGTAACTTTAAACTTTCTCCAGTCGGGTTTTCATTTTCCGTTTTTGCTACATTGTTGTGTATGCCTGTTGTGGAGTGGACAGAACAATTTTATTTATTAAGAATATTGATGTATTCTATTCATTATTAATGTGACTATGAAACAGTCCTTCTTCCCATCTCACTCGAATATTCAACTGGAATGAATCTTTCGAAAAAATTTCCGTTTCGATCTATTGTTGTGATGAAGTGAAGATGAAACGAGCATGATTCTATATGCAGAAGGCCGTTCTATATAAATTCTTCTCATAGCTTTATGGCTGTGGAACTCGAAGACCGTTGAATTCAATCACTTGATTTGACGTATCATCGATCTCGTAATTGTATGAGAGTGAAATTGTAAGAACCTTTCCTCCACAATAAAATCCGAGCAACAGACGAAGTTTATCCCGGCCATAGAGCCTGTTCTGAATTATGGATGGCGCTGTTCATCTTTTTGAATAGAATCTGCAAACGCGTGTTTTTGATATCGCAATTCATCCATTTTCGTTTCATAAAGGTGCATGTCTTTTTGAACGTTTCACACGGTCCACCAGATAGTCAGAACGTTTCGATGCAGCTCGAGAGGCGGTCTGAACATTCTACGATTGGAGAAGTATACTGACGTCGAGGCTAAAACGATGGACATTGCATCGCGATTATCACAAAGACTTGTGCTGCTTCAATAGTGTTGAAAGAAATGTTTGAAAAGAATTTTCGAAGAATAAAAATGTAATGAATGAATTGTGATTTCATTTTATCGCATTGTTGATAAAGAATTGATGTTGTGATGGTTCGAAACACGAGGTTCAATTCAATTAAGTCATCGGTAGTGAAGCCATCATTAATGCATGCCCACATTTCCATTTGTATTTCTCACGAAGGAATTGAAGAGCCGCTTTTTTTTCAGTGGTTTAAAATTTAGTACAGAAACTAGTGCAATTTGCAATACACAACTAATGCAAATATAGCGCAGAAATCCGCGTTTTTCATTTCTTGACATTTATCGGTCAGCTTTTTATCTTTGTTCCCGTTTCCCATGGGAATATCCTATCACCGGAGTAATCTCTTTTCAAAAGGATTGGTGTCAAAACTGGTTTAACAACAATAAAAGGTGGGTAACATCACTCAGTGAAGGAAATGACAAAGTGAGAATGAGATGAAATTACTGAAGGAACTACAAGGTTCATATTTTGTTCACATTGTATTATTGATATTTCATCAAGATGCACTTTATGGAAAGGGACGAATCTGAAACTTTTATCCCTCACGGTGCATACTTTTAATGAAAATGAAGTCATATGCTATGTGACGAATGTAAGAACTGTTTGCTTGTGATATTCATTTGATTCTACTTGTTCAGAAGATCATGTAATTTCCTGACGAGATCTCATTTGTTGGGAAGCGCTTATTTCAATGCACGGCCTGCATGGCGTCCAGGTTTCAAAGGCTCCTACCAGAGAAGAGGATGAACTAACGGTCAGCTCAAGCAATTTACTCGTGGGGCTACATTGCAAATTTCCTCACTCAGTTGATAGAAATAAAGAGAAACACGCACATACAGAAGCGCTGACAAAATACTGTTTAAGCTATCGATAAGATGCCTGTCCCACGGCCGCCTGACGAGAAATAGATGTTTGTTTCGAAGTTACATTTCCTCCAGGAAAGAAAAAAGATTAAGTCAGAGACGTTAGCCTTTCCTGTGCATATCACTAACGTCCAAACAATGACACTCGTTCAAGCTTATTGATCTCATCGTAGGATTTACGCTAACATGCATTCAACGTCACATTATAAATGTTCTATTCGGAATAATGCTTTACCATTCCTATTCTATGCTAAATGACATTTGAAGAGTTGTGT